CCTTTGTTGGTCCCATTTGTTTTCAGATTCAAACATTTGGACTAAACATGATTTGGCTCCTAATGAAATTTGGGTAACATCATAGTTGAATTTTCAATGAGGTGTGATTGTTAGAAGCTTCCAAGCCCACTGATTTGTATTCCTTATTCCTTTTGACATTTCTGACTCCAAATCAATGGACTTTATCTTTCTGCGCATCCAAACAGAAACCTCGTCAACAGGTGTCAGATCTTATGGGAGCACCAAGAAAAAGAACTAAATGGAATAATTTAAAAGAAAATTAAATAACAATAGGTTCTAGAAAAAGCTTATATTAAAACATTAGATATTTAAATGTACTTAATGTCAAGGTTCATGAAAAATTAATCAAACAAATTCATGTGAAAAGCTGACCTAAAAAGAGTGGAATTAAAAAGAAATAAATAACATAAGTTCTAGAAAAAAGTTTATATTCAAACGTTGAACATTTAAATGCACTTCATGTCATCTTCAAGTGCACTTAATATCACGGCTCTATGAGTGAGACTAATTCTAAAATATGTGTACTACTATTTAACACAGATGCATAATCAATTAAATAAATTCTTATGAAGAGCTCACCTATAAAAAGTGGAATTAGAAAAGAAATAAATAAGTTGTAGGAAAAGCTTTATATTAAGACATTAGATACTTAAACTTGCTTCATGTCATTGTCAATGCACTTAATGTCACCGCCCTATCTGTGAGGCTAATCCTTAAAAGTATGTTGCGTACAAGAAAAAATTGATCAAACAAATTCCCATCAAGAGCTCACCCATAAAAAGTGGATTTTATACAATGGCTTCTCTGCATGTGGCTAGGTGTTAGGAGTGGACCTGTTTCACGTCGAATTTGTATAGTGGTTAAAATATATATAAATAGGTGGATATATAATACTATTCAACGGTTTAAGTTTTTGGATAAATGGGTAAGCATTCACTTTTTACAATTGGTATCAGAGTCAGAGTCAGACTCAATTCTTAATTTGGTGTCACGTTAAGCGTCCAGCCCGAAGGGCGTCAGGGTCTGATTCCGGATAGGTCGGCTAGCCCGACCCCAACGAGGGCGTTGCGTGGATTCAGGTGAGGGAGAATGTTACAAGTGAGACACATTAGATTTGTATAGGGGTTAAAGTGTGTATAAATTGATGGTGGGTATGGAGTACTACCCAACAATTTGAGTTTTTGGTAAATGGACAAGGGTCCACCAATTACACTAGGGATGGCAAAAATTCCCATCTAGTAGGGCCCACTTTGCCCCACCCTGTTTGGAGTGATTTCGAAGAACCGATTATGTAAATGGGGACGGGAATGGGAGTTTCTTTCGGAGGAGGGTTGTTCTGCCCCAAATATACTATAAATTTATTAAATTACCTTTACATACTAATATTATGATATATTACTAAAATAGGTTAAATATATATACACACACAGCAGGAGGGAAACTCTATCCCTCATTTTGTTTCATCTCTTAAGTTTAGCTACAAAAAGAGAGCCGCGAGTAGGGATGGCAAAAATCCTCACCAAGGCGGGGCCCTTCCCGTTTAGGACAGTTTTGGGGAACCAATTATTTAAATGGGGATGAGGGTTGCTTTGAAAAATCGAATTTTGGGACAGAAAAAATTTAAACGGGGATGGGGAATGATCCTCGCCCCATTGCCATAGCTCATTCTATCTTGATAGTTTAAATTCATAAATAAAGATACAAATAAAAATGGAGTTTCTGAAATGGACAATGTATCACGATTCAATCCATGAATATTAAAAATACAATATATTGTCATTCATTCTATCCTTAAGATTGATTTGTATTACGACTCAAATCAATCAACGTTACAAATATAATTTACGGTAAAAAAAACTATGCTATAAAATATCCCTACTATTTAGTTTGTGCATATAAATTCTCAACATTTGAAAATATGTGCGAATTGTCCCTTAATATCAGTTGATCGTTAATTTTGACTAATTTCATTTTTAAAAAAAAAACTCAAAATAGCCTTAAAAATTGAAATCAATTTATTATTATCTTAAGAACATTTTATGTATTTCCGCCTTCAAATTAACAAAATGTCTTCACTTACTCCTACAAATTTTTTTGAGCACCTAAAGTTTGTGTGAGTGTGTGTGTTCTTTTTTTTTTTTTTTTTTTTTTTTTTTGGTGCACATTACCCTATTTTATATTATAATATATTATCATGATCACCTGCAAAGTACAAACCACCTATACACAAATTTCCTTGTAAAGTAATCTAAAAAAAGGACTAGTATTTTGACCCACAAAACCAATCAAGGCAAGCATGTGCAGTGAATAGTGTAGAAAGCACATGGAAAAAGGTGAGTGATCAACAACCCAAAATAACATCATCATCCAACTAACATTTGAAAGCTCAACAAACTCATTCCCATCAATGAAATCCAGGGTGTAATGAAGCCCTAACACAAGCATTGAGTAGTTATTACCCAAGAACAAACATGTGGAAGAGAGAGACATTGTGTGTGACACCTAAAAAAGCAATAATCAAAAAGCATATTTGTTAAGACCCCAAATGCAAACATTAATGTTCTTGAGGTGTGACCTAAAAATCCTAGATTTCAAATGGTTTCAAGTTGTTTTCAAACTACATGTGCCCACTAAATCATCACATTGAGAAAGTAATCGAGTGTTTAATATTCACTCAAAAGGAAATCATTAACTACACCAAAGTAGAGAATTATGCAATTAGTTGAACCTACTACCCAAAATTTAAATTCTTAGGTTGTCATATTCAAGTAAGTTATGAGGGATAGGAATTGGTAGGGATGTTTAATTAAACCAGTTCGTCTGAAAAAGAAAGTTTAAGACTCGTCAAGTACCAAACCCTCCCGATTAATAACTATATAACTATATATATATATATATAAATTCATATTCTTTTATTAACTATAGTCATTTCATTTTCCTTCATTCTTTATGATAATTTTTAATTTGACCATACTTCAATTTTTTTACAAAATTTACCTTGAAATTTTCAAACTTAAATTGGTTTTCTTCAAAAAAATATGTAAGTCCCAACTCCGATTGGAAAGGGTTTGGAAAAAAAAAATTATTTATGGGATGAGTTTCATTGACATTCCTATGAATTGAAATTAGAAGAAAGTTTAATTCGGAGCTCCCAAAATATTGATTTATTGTATATACTGCTGGCGCTCTCTCTTTCTAACATTTAATTTGTTAAAGAGAATAGAAAAAAAAAAAAAAAAAAATTCATGTGGTCCATCCACATGGAATTAAGGAAGAATGATGATGCAATGGAAACAAAATGCTAATCTAACGCAAAGACTTGTATCAAAGTACTTGATAGCTTACACACACACACACAAACACACATATATATACACACACAATACTTCTACACCGAGCACAAAACAAGTGAAATCAAATCATAGAACTAAAGTCGCAAATAGTGAAAAATTAAGATAATAGGTTCAACAGACAGAATCAGTATTTTTCTGCACTTGTTTGGCAGAAAAACACTCATTAAAAAGAGGGATGATGTGTAAAGTAAAAGCATTAATAGGCAAACAAGGTTGTCTGAGGAAAGCCGGGTTGGTTCCTTGGCAAGGTTACTTGTCCTCGCTGCCTCATGAAATATCATATTATGAAATTCGACTCCTAGTAAGTGTAAACAATTTTTTTGAATTCAAACCTCTGCGACTTACCTAATCCGGTATAATGAAACGTCCTTCCTAAATCCTTGGGTATATATCCTCCCAAGGACAATCGGGAAAAAAAAAAAAAAGTTACAGTCTCAAAGCCAGACTATTTACTATGCAACACTTGACCTTGGGGGGTGACGAGACATCCTTCCTAGGTCCTTGGGGATATATCCATTGCAAGTTCACTTGACCTTAGTGTCTCGTTAAATATCAGGTCAGAAGTTTAACTCTTATTAGGTGTAAACAATTTCCTTGGATCAACGCCTCCGCAACTACCTGACCCAGGTGGGTGACGAGACGTTCTTCCTACATCCTTGGGGATATATCCTCCCAAAGGAGGACCGGGGCAAAAAAATTTAGTCTCTCAAAAATTTAGGGTCTCAAAACAGACTATTCATCATGCAGTGAATATCATCCAGTCTAAAAAACAGACTATTTGTTATGCACTGAATATCATCCATGGAGTTGAGAAACCAGTATTCATTGACAGAACACATAAATGTAAAACAATTGTTTGGAGAAGCGTGTCCTGGTTAGCACAAAAACTGGTAGTTTAGCACCTAAAATCGGAAAACGAAATATAAATGTCCTGAACCTGAGAGCACAAATGCACTATAAGTAGTAGTTTCAGAAACTCTAAAGATGGCTCTAAGATATGATGCCTATTGATTGCATACATGCATGATGAATAAAATTGTAACCTGAGTCAGATTCAATTGATTATCAACTACCCAATGGACCTACAAATAAATACACACACATATACTATATCAGAGACCTATCATGGTGTGTGCCAGATGCATATAAGTACTGACAAATGTTGTGGTGATGCAAATCATGTTGAATCATCTCACAATAGCAAACCATGTTGAGCCATCTCACACTCGAATGGCCAACATAGAGGCCGGATATGGGGGAAATCAAGATGGGGGAGATCATGGAGTTCGGAAATGGGTCGAGCAATGATGTCGAACCTTTTGTGCACGTATTGAATTCCCGCTAGTGTAAATTATACATGGTGCAGCATGAACTACGTAACAAAATTCTTCAATGTCTATAAAAAAAGATGGCCTTCAAATGTAGCTACTAGATAGAAGTTAACTACCTTAATTAAATAAAAATTGACAACAAAATACCAAAAATTAATCTTTCAATCAAACTGAAGCGGATAGAGATCACAATATGATTCAGAACATGCTCAATACCAAATTATTACATTCATCTTAAGCAAAAAATATATGCCAAATTGAAGGTTAAGACTTGTATGGTCTAATAGGGCATATATATGCATAACAAAACAACTAGTATACAATCATTATAATACAATGTGTGTTAGTTCCAATAAATAGACATACAACAACAGGAAATATACAAAATAGAAAACCAAATGCAGAAGCGAACACAAGTTTTACAGGCACATTTTTCTTAACATATGTATGGCTTGCCCTCAAAATTCATCCATAGTTAGCCCGCATGATTCACATTTCTTCCAAGTCTCACAAACTATCGAATTGAAAATCATGTACTAAAACCACCACGAGCCTCACTGTCATCTAAATGAGCACAAAGGATGACCCAAGAACTAGGGAGTAAAATACATAGGATCCCCCAAATAAAGAAAAAGACCACGATCAAAGGGATGTGAAACACCCACCTACTAACCGAAAAAAAAGAACTTCAACCATAATGATAATGATGAGTAAATCGCATCATGTCAAATCCAAAGTAACTCAGATAATTTGGGATCTTCAATCACACAAGGGTTTCACATTGAACCTGTAGATGAGCTTCTTCTTTTTCGAGGTAGGGTTGTCAATAGTGAGTATTATTTTACCAACTTGGGCTATTTTGAAGCTGTGATGCAGCACTGGTTCATCAGTGGGAGCCATCTTAGTTGCTTTCTGAATAACCACGGTATACGCACCTTCAGCAACAGGCACGTATTCAGCACTGTAGCTCACTTCCCACCCCACTACCCTCAGCTCCCAGACAATAGTACATATCTGCAGTTATTTTATCACCAATTACTGAAAGCAACAATAATTCTTCCGATCATAAAAGATAAAAGTATTATAAGATATATGCGTGTATCAATTAAAAGTACAACACTGAAGACTACAAATCAATTATGAGAGAGATTAACAGCAATTGCACCTCATTTACTAGGATTTCCACAGTTTGCTTGGTTGCAGGTTTTACAGTAATCTCCGTGGCTGGATCATCAATGCTGAATTCAGGGTTGCAGTCACAGAAATCGACACTCAAACCACCATACTGAATCGGCACTTGCTCTGGAGGTATGTATCTGGTTCACCAATTGAATATAAGACAATTTAGTTCCGCCCCAAAACAGCTGACAGAAATAGAGAACCACTTAAAAACGAATAGCTCTTTCAGAGACTGAAATTAAGAACTTCACATACTTGAAAAGGGTTTCTGCAGTTTTCGCAGGGCCGGCAAATACAAACTTGCTTTTGGTCCTCTGGGTCAAGAACGGACTGATCATAGTATAGAAAGCCAGGTACCACCAAGGAACATTTATGAACACCTTAAAAAACGAAAAACGAATAAAAAAACAATAATACATATTGTATTAAAACAAAAATGTAATTAGATTTGATCCAATGAACATAATACGAAAATAAGATTATTTTTTTTGGGCACCAAAATAAGATGAAAGTGGGCTCATCAAACATTCAATCATTCACAGTTACAACAACAATATTAAAATATACCCATCCATCAGCAAGAAGTGAACTATATTCCATTATTACCACCAAGGAACATTTTTGAACACCTTAAGAAACTAAAAAACAATAATAAATCTTGTATCAAAACAAGCAATTAGATTTGATCCAATGAATTTAATATCATAATAAGATGAAATTGGAGTCACCAAACATTCAATTCACATTTCAACATCAATATTAAAATATACCCATCCATCAGCAAGAAGTGAACTATATTCCATTATTACCTGTTTGACAACAAACTCCGGATAGTTGTCCTGAAGCAATTGCAGAGCCTGCCTAGTGGCTTGCCGGAGCTCGCGCTTTCCCGGACCCGGAGAATTCTTCAGATCACTGACCTGAAAGATAGTACACACACCACCAGAACTGAAATCAAGCTTCCTTATACTCCTCTCCAAGAACTGAATCCGCCAACGCAAGAACTTGGTTCTCTTCTCTTCATCAGCAAACGTTTTCTGATACAACTCCTTGTTCTGAAACTCTCCATACACATTGTAACACACAGGGTGTCCGTCCTTGTCCAAACCATGCATGAACACAACCTTTTCGAGATCATCTCCGAGGTCTTCGTCGATGAGGGTGTCAATTCCAAACTGTTTCCTCCAAAAAAATGTGTTCTTAAGCATTACAAATGCGTCCTTGACTTTGAAGTCTCTGGCTCTCAGAAACTTCAGAAGAATCACATCACTCCGATCGTCCTTGAGAAGTGGCACACCCCAGATTGAAACTTCCACAGGAGAAGAAGTAATTTCAGTATTGGCACTATTATCATTTTTGGTGACTGCTTCAGATGGTTTGTGCTCGTCTTTTGGTTCATGGGTTGGTGCTGATTCTGTGATGGGGGTTTCAGTTTCTGGAGGCGGTGGTGGAGAATCTGAAGTGGGTACAGTGGAAACAGGTTGTGGCGGCGGCGGCGGCGGCGGCGGTGTTCTCTCTTCAACCGCAGCTGATTTTGGTTCCTCTACTTTCTCCGCCGCCACTGGCGGTGTCGGCGGCGGCGGCGGGTAGTTGAATTCATGGTTGTTGAGGGCTTCTCGTACCCGCTGCTTCAAATCTTCAAGAGCCCTTTTCTCAAAATTCGAGAGATCGGCCACTCTATTGCTCTCTTCTTTGAAAGAAATCAGCGATTCAGGGACCTTCGATGAATCTAACGGCTTCCGTTTCTCCGATTCAACCAGCTCTCCCACCGTAGTCACAGCTTTCACAGGTGGGTCAGATTCCAACTCCGCCGCCACGGGTGGGGGTGGCGGTGGCGGAAGCGCTTCTTGGGATGTCTCGGCCGCCTCTGTCGGAACTGACTTGGGACTTTCATCAGACATCTTGTGGGCGAATTTGATTCAAAGCAAACTGGATGACAACTGGATGACAGTGTTGGATTCAAGAGAAGTTGAATTGATGAAACAATGAAAAGATTCAGAAAAAAAGGCGTAATTTTTGAGAGAGAGAATGGGGGTTTGTTTTTAGTGAGAGAGAGATACTGAGGAGATAAAACTATAAAGAAACGGTGTTTTTTCTTTGTAGAGAGAGAGAGAGAGGGTTTGTTTTTAGTAAGAGAGAGATACTGAGGAGATAAAGTATGAAGAAACGGGGATTTTTTTGTCGAAGTATCCGTTGGATTTGTCGGTACGAAAAATGGTGGGGTCCTTTTGGTGTAGATGTTGAAACTTGTAGAATTCTGTGGAATCCTATGAAGTATGAACCCAATGTGTAAAGGCCGTTACTGGTTGATCTAACGGGTTGGGCTTGTCTTGGGCTTTTCTGTTTTATAAGTCCAAATAATATGGATCCAATTTGGCCTAAAGTTGAATTTTAGCCTGACCCAGCAAAGAATTTGGTTATTTGATTGTTCAAATAAATTTGGTTATTTGAATTTTACTTTGCTATGTTTTGGTACCACCCAATTGATAATTTGAATTTAAAATTTGAATAAATTAATTTATACTATGTTCGGTAGAAAATAAGTATGAGGTGTGAAGAAAAAATGGGAAGGAAATAACAAATTTTGTTTAGTAAAGAGGAGTGATAATAGGAGGGATGAGTCATTATTTTTCTTTTCTCCAAATATGGGCAGAGAGGAGGGAAGACAATTGAAGCTATCATAAAAGTTTAAACTACTATTATCTTAAATTAAACAAGTTTTAAATTTCAATATTATAGATAGTGATGAATATTATAGTAAAAATAATTTAAAAATTCTCCTCTTTTTTTTTTCCTCTTAACAAACACATTAAATTGTGACTTAACTCTCTTCTCTTCCATCTAACCTTAACAAAAAGAGGGAATGACAAAATTAATCTTTTTTCTAGAGATGTCTTATTCATCCCTTCTCTCCCTTCCATTTATTTCCTATCAAACCAAAGATTGGTTAAAATTTTGAACTAAATTTCTTTTAATCCCAAATCCAAAATATCAATTCATTGACACCCAATTGCAACATTAATCATATTCGAGTCGCATTGAATCTAACTTTTGTTATGAAATTTGGTAACCCACATTAATCATATTCCAGTAGCATTGAATCTAACTTTTGTTATGAAATTTGCTAACCCTAAATCCCAACAATTCCCAAACCTTAATATGAATGTCAATTCCACCAAAATCAAATCAGTTGTGTTCTGGTTGTATTGAATCTAATTTTTTTTTTTTTTTTTTTATGAAATTTGCTACCTAACAACCCTAAAACCTTAACATGAATGTTATTTGGACGAAAATCTTACCATAATTTAGTCCTTTCTAGTACTCACATGAGGAGTTGAAACCTCTGCCACTTTAGAATGTGGGTGAGAAGAAAAGGACCCCTCATGCCAATTTCACCATATTAGTTATATACAGGGAGACAATATTCGCACTTTATTTTTTTTTAATTATATTTTATTTATTTTTTATTTTTAAAAAAATGACAAAAAGGTCCTTAAATTCATTAATTCATCATCTCTTAATTTTTAATGTCATAACCAACCTTTATACAACTTTAACTTTTTTGTGCCTTATTTACTTTCTTTATTATTATTTTTCCTTTCTTTTTGTTTTTTCCGGAAATTCTCTCAAAGAAAATAATTTATTCCTTATATATAATTTTATTCAACAAAGTTTAACTTTTTTCAATCCTGTCAAAAAGCTAACTTTTTTTTTGGTAATTTTTTATGGGTCCTGTCAATATATATATATATATATATATGTGTGTGTGTGTGTGTGTGTGTGTGTGTTGAGTCTTATTAAAAGAAATAATTTATTCAATAGAGATAAAAAAAATTTAATCTTCTCCTTTTCATATCCAATTTTTTTTTTTTTTTGGGATATTGACAAAAGAAATAATTTATTCATTAAATATATTTTTGGGGAAGGGGACGTTTTCATGTCAAAAGAGATAATTTTTAATGGTTACTTTTTATTTTTTTGGTTCGGTCAAAAGAGACAATTTATAACATAATAATAATTATTAAAGATTAGAGATAAAAACAGTAAATCGAAAAGGATCAGTTGTGTCATTTAAAAAGTAATAAATATTTACACGTTAGAATTGCCATTTCATTTAAAATTGTAGTGCAAATGTTGAATGCGAATATCGCTTATATATATATATATATAGGGTGCGAATATCCCTTATATATATATATAGGGGAGCCACTGTATGTCCCTAGTCTGGCCTCACTTACTATAATATATTATAAATTTATACATTTTTAATATGAAAAAAATTCATATAATGCCCCTCTAAAATTTTTATTTTCTAAAATTATCTCCTCTTTTTTACTCTTTAAATTCGTTTAATTTCCTTTAAAAAAAAGTCAAAATTTTCTTTTTGAATCAAACTCCAATTTTTTTTCTAGAATAGACAATTAAGATATTTCCTAAAGCCCCCAACAGGAGAAGAGACCCGTTATCTAATTATACTAATTAATTTTTTTTTTAATGAATTAGAAATACAACTGCTCTCTTAAAATTACCAAATGAATATTACTGTTTACAATTTTCTCCTTCTACATTAATTATAAAGTAATGATATTGAGAGGGCACATATCATATGGGCTTGACAGTCACAAGCCCAGACAAAAAGGTTGAGGCCCAAATTGCCCCAAACTGGAATCGGGTCAGTCCACTCTTCAATCCACCGAATCGGGAAAGAGACAACAACGAAACCCTCGCTGCTTCACCAGCAAGTCAGAGAGAGAGAGAGTAAAAAGAAAACCGGAGGAGGAGGAGGAAGAAGAAGACCAGAGAAAGAGAGAGGCACAAAAACAAAGAAAGGGTTTGTGTTTTTTTCAATCTGAGAAAAAATGTCTGAGAACAAACCAATCCCTCCAGAGTTCGATCTCAATGCCAAGTGGGACGCATGCCTCGATCTGAGCATCCGTAAAATCGCTTACTCCTCCTTGGCCGGAGCTTTTGGCGGTCTCCTTCTCTTGAGTGAGTTCTCTTTCCTCTTCGTTTACATTCCCCGTATTCATTGTCTTATCCCCTGTTTGGTTACCGAGAAAGTTGCGAAAAAAGGGGTATGGGGAAAGTTGTAGGTATTATAAGAAATGGGTTATTATTATATCTTCTTGGGTGTTTCTTATTTTGATATATTATAGTGGTTTAAGAATTGGGTATTGGTTTAATTTTTGTGGGTTGAATTGTTTGAGAGTGAAAGAACCCTAGATTTACGACAATAGCCAATTATTGGAGCATCACATGCTTGAAAACCCCTCGTTCTATGGTGTTGGTCAGTGAATATTGCAGTCCTTTTAGCTTATCATTTTACAAGATGAAATACCTCCTCCTTCCATTGTGATTGTCTGAGTTTGGTTTTGGCCCTGGGAAATAAACCATGTTAGCGTGTTCTCTCTACAGTCCGTTGATGGAAATTTTGAACAGAAAATAAACACCATATAGTGTTTACAACGTAGAAGAAGAATATGACCATATGGTGTTATCAACCTTAAATTAGCACATAATAGAATAAGTTGTCCAGAACATTATTCAAGTTATTTCAAGGTGATAATGGGCGAGGCCAAGCAATAACTAGTGTCAGAATACTTGGATGAGGGCAAATAAGTTTTCAAGTATTATAAGGTTGCTTTACTTAACAAAATATGTGTGTGTATTTATTTATTAAAATAGTGCTTTAGGTTTAAATATGCTCTTATATGTTTGCATTTTTAATAAATAAAATTACTTGATATGTTGTGTTGAATTATAATTTTAGTTATTGAAGCTAGAGTACTTTGTATTTGTAATCATGGAGAGATACTAGAGAATTATAGCCTGCTTGGTTCGTAACTTTGAGAACACTTTTCTGTTTTCAAAAAATGAAAACAGAAAGCTGTAAAAAAATTCTGCTTTGTTCAATTTTCTGAAAACGATTTTCTGAAAACTCAGTTATAAAAAGGTCTGTTTTTAGAGAACTACTTTTATTGTTCTCTGTTTTTTGTTATCTGAATTGTTAAGAACTGTTTTCAGAGTTACAAACCAAGCATGCCCTATAATTTTTAGACGAAACAGAAATGAGATATATTTTTTATCTATTTATGTTTAATGGGTAACAGTAATATAATAGAACAGTAAGCGCCAGAGGGAATGCAACCCATGTATGTCAATCCTGTGTTAGATAGAATGTTAACACAAAGTTGATTGACAAATTCATTTCAGAATTTGTTATGAGATGTGTTGCTTGGATAGATTGCTTGAAGCTAATTGTTTCCTCTTAGCTTATGAAGCCTGACATTTCTAAAGAGGACAGCCTATAAGGTATCAACATTTCTCGGTTATTCACAGACACATTTCTATTACCTGCATTGTTGCCTAGATCATAAGATGCCAATTCAATGTTAACTAGAAAGTATTATTAATGAATTCTGTATAGAATGGAATATAGCAATGCTGTTTCGGCCTTTCTGATGCTTTCTAATGGTAAATTCCCAGTTGGGCATGTCATTTAGTTTTCTTCTTTTTTTCATACTGCCATATATTTGCCAGTTTCATGGTTCATCTTATCTTTGGCAAAGATATTCTCTGAGTGCCAAAATCATTTAGGTTTTCTACTTGAGATTTGGTAGAGGAATGAAGCTGTGACTGTTCCTTGACACCTTAAAAGAGGCGTTAATTTATGTGTTTTTTAGGCTGTGTTCTGTTTTACTTGCCTTATTAATCTGCATATATGGAAAACAAATTTGCTAATCCCGTGGCTCAGGTAAACGGTACATATCATAAGATCACCTCTGCATTATAAAGTCACTCGGACTCTTTAACACTTGCTGTCCCGGACAGGTTACTGTTTTTATAATAATCAATCTATTCTGATTTGTCATGGCAGGGAGTCCTGTGACACGCTGGGCGGCAGTAGCTTTTGGTGCTGGAGTGGGAGTTGGAGCTGCATACACGGAGTGTAATTACAAATATTATGGTGTTCCTGTGCATTCATCACCTACTAACGTTTCTGAGTCTTCTCCTTCTCCGGTAGGTTTCATGATTATTGTTAGCATGACATGTTATATCATTATTTTTTTAACAAGTGAAAGGAAAACTTTTGTTTGTTCAGCCTCTTTGTAGTATATCATTGTTGTTGTTAATATTTATGGAAACGAGTAAGACATGTTATGGAAGTGTGGGCATGATTTTTTTTTTTTTTAAAAAAAAAGAAGAAGAAAGAATTGGAACAGTTAGCATATGATGATAAAATATATATTTTTTAATATATAGAATCACGTTGTATATGATAAGTATATTACATGACTAAATTGAATTTCTTACTTTTAAAAAATATAATCATAATCATTCGTGTCTGCAAAGAAAATCTAATATTTCTGTATGTTTAGTCAAACACAAAAACACAAAAACACGAAAATCTAATCATTCGTGTTTTTGTGTTTGGCTAATTCAATGTCTTCTTTGTTGTCTCCCACTCTTATGCTCACTTCTTTGATAAAGTCTTTATACGTCTTTGTTTTTTATATTTGGTCAATTTTTAAATTTTTTTTTTTTATATAAACCTTTAATTTGATATATATATATATATATATATATATATATATATATATTTATATTTACATATATTCATTTTTTTTTTGTTTTCCAAACTAAAGCAAAGTCTTATCTAATTTACAAGGTTCATTAGTCATATTCTGGTTGTGAAGAAGTGTTGGCCATGTATCTGAATTTAAAAAAATCATTTTAAATATAGACATATCCAGAATGTGTTGTACATGTGTCGGAAAGTGTCTAAGTGTCAGTGTCCAACACGTGTTAAAAAAAAACAGGTACAATTCCACTTTAGAAAGTGTTGTCTTATTTTCTTGCATAAGAGCATCCCCAGTGCAACATCCACACTTAATTCTACACCTTTAAGAGAGTGTTGTGCCACATCATCAATTGTGTTGACATGGCTTACACTTGTTTTAGAGACTCCAACTTCTTTTTGTGCACTCTTTTTTTGACTCTCCTCTTTATTATTTTATTATTTTTTAAAATTTATTTATTAAAAAATGAAATGAATTTTTTACAATTGTTTGTTTTTTTATTTTTCCAACAGCTTTATTCCAAACAACTATATTGCTAACGGCTATAATTGTTTGCTTCGATTATTTGTTTTGAGAAATTAAAAAAAAAAAATGATATTTACATAAATAAAGAAAAAATACATTACATAGCTTCCTACAAATAAAATAAAACAATACACTATAGAAAAACATATACAATAAAGCTTAAATAAATACATACAATAATTATTTTATACCGCCACCACACTATCAATTTTCTTTTATATTATTCATTGGACACAAGGCCCACATTTTCAATTCTGTCAGGCGCCATTTGATTCTACAAATGTGTAGCATCAATTGTAAATTTTTTGGTGGGGGCCACAAGTGTGGAATCCCCACACCAAAGCCATTCCATCGCCACAGTGTCAGATAATATACAAATAGGAGACGCGCTGGAGATGCTCTAATGGATGCTATTTTTAAATTTATGGTGTCTGTGCTACTATACTATGTTCATTTCAAAATGGATGTTATTTAAAATTATAATGTACTTATGGTGGAAAACCAACTCGGTTAAAGGTGGCAACCAACTTTCAGCTCTGCTTTAGAAGTATCCGCTCCTTGATAACTGTTAACATGTGGGCAGTACCCGAGGACACTCACTTGCAACTTTTGAGGAGACCACCCTCCAATTTTAGCAGTCAACTGCCTAAATCACTTATTTGGGTTACAGACGATAGCCAAGAGCTATCGTTGTTGTGCTGTTGCAACATGATTTATTTGGGTGACCCTTTTCCATGCTGTACAGAAGAGGACATAAGAGTGCTGAGCACGTGATGAATTTCTTGCCCATCTTGAGATTGTCTATAGGGAGGTTGTATCAAGGTTCTTTAGGTGCAGATCAAGAATGAGGTGCAGAAGTTACATAGTGCTGGGTTTATTAAGTAAATAAAATAACGATCTAAGGTATGCAAAGCTGCTCAGGCTGTTTACTTTTGTTGGTGTGAGTGAGTGGGAGGGGGAAGAAGATGAGCGGCTCAAACTAGCTTGTATTCTCCCTTCGTGAGCCTAAGATTTGCAAAGGGATATATAATTTGGTTAAATGGTGGCCTTCACAATGGCCCACTAGGAGAGGACATCAAAGAAAATATATGTTGTTCCTTTAGCATAGGCTGTGCATTTGAGTGCTTGGATCAAATGTAAGAAAGTGAACTTAGCAATATAATCCGATGTAATTGAAAGTTTGTCAACTCCAAACTGCTCTAGATTTGCTTTGGATTCTAAATGAGGTACATGATACTCTCTCATTAAAAGCCAAATTGGTGAGTCTGTGGGGATTGTGTACCATGGAGCACATGCCATGCTTGTTTTAATGGTGGCAAGTTGGCCTCGACCATGCAGACTAGGGATTCAATTCATCAAAAATCTTAATGGAATTAATAGAATGGCAGAATAGTGATTTTGATAATCTTCGGCTCCAATTTTAGAAGGAAAGCATCTTGAGGAGGCTGGCTGTATAAGAAAAATCCTTGAACCTTATTCCAAAAGTGGTTCTGATAACCGCTGATCTCAATTCTAATTTTCTGTGATCTCAAGAAAAACTCCATTGTTTTGAGCTAGGAATTTATAGATATGATTGGGAAATAGGAGGTGGTAAAGAAATGTAAAAGAAGAAGATCAGAAAAATACAAAATGAAGTGAAACAACAGCAAAGAAAGATGAAAAACTGAAAATTTGAGGAGTGCTCTCTCTCATAGGATTGTGTAAATCATTGCTTATAAATCTTTTTTATACATATATCCTTTAACTAAATCAAATACCATTACAAATGTGCAACAATTTATGTAGATTTTAAACATATGTTATATTATCATAAGACACAATTAATGTAAGTAGTCAACGACTAGCGCACGAGTTCCTTTAAATATATGATAAGATTAAACAATGTGATCCATCGAATATAACAATGATGTGATGTGTATGCAAATTAATGGCCATTTTAGAAATGGAACTATATAAATGGGTAATACAAACTAGGAGGCGTGTTTTTTTTCCCTGGAACCTGGATTCATTAAAAGTTGGCTGGTAATTTTATAGTTTAGCTTTTGAGTATGTAAATGAATGTTCTAGTACTAGTAATCACATAGATGTCTTTTTATATACTATCAATTAGCATATTGAGATTCTTGTATGTTTTCATTCATAGTTTTTAAAATATTATTCATTAGTATTGTTATTATTTTAGGTGACAAGTAAGAGTTCCTTTTGTATATTTAAAGAGTATTACTCATAAATTTGGAACTAAGTTGTTTCCTTGAAATATTTTATGTATTAGAGATTCTTTGTTTGTTACATCACATTTACTCTATCTTGTGATATTGGCAATATCTTTTAATTGTTATTTGGACCACCACGTGAATACGGGAAGAAAAAAAAAAAGAAAAAAGGCAAACCCCGCTCCAAGAACGACAATTACGTTTGGCTCTGATATAGCAATTGGCCATGCTTTAATTCTTGCCACCATATCACGGGCTTTTGGAAGCTTATCCGGAAGGGGTGGGATGAGTTTTCTAAACGTATCCGATTCAGGTTCGTAGCGGGAGTCACGTCAGGTTTTGGGAGGATTGGTGGTTTGGGAATTACTTTCTGGCTCGTAGGTTCCCTCGGCTGTTCAGGATCTCTTCGACTAGATATACCCTGGTTGGCCACCGTTATCGCCTTGATGACGGGAGATTAACATGGGCTGTGCAGTTTCGTAGAGGGTTTCATGATTGGAGCTTGCAGAGGTTGCTGAGTTCTTGGCCTTGCTCTACAGTCAGGTGGTTGAGGGCATGGGGATGGACGAGATGGTGTGGGTGGGCTCACCCAGAGGGGTGTTTGAGGTTAGGGCGTTCTACGGTTCTACCATAGTCTGTTGGTGATCCTGGGTCCTTTCCCTTGGAAGGTTGGTTTGGAGGTCGAAAGCCCCATTGAAAGTGGCTTTCTTTGCTTAGTGTGTTTGATAAGTTGATAGGAATCTCCAAGATTCTGGTACTTGTCTTTGAAAAGACAATAGAAAAGCCCTTATATATAGAAGCTTTAATTTTTGTGCTTATCTTAATTGTTGGTTCAATTTATGCGTGGCCATGATATTCCATCCTTCACTTCATGAGATAGCATTTTGACCAATCTACCACATGCTGAGAGTGTGCTCACAGAGGCCCATTTTGACTCCTGAGATCTTGGATTCGGCAATGACTGTCGGTCATGTGATTGATGTTTCACTTGGTCCAGAAGAAGACCTGAAAGCTATGGAAGTACAGCCCTTGACCAATGTACATAGTTTTTCCAAATGCCAAGATGAAGGAATAGGTTACAGATTGTGGCCAACTGGTGTTGTATGTGCAAGGAGATGGAGGAAAAAGTTAATCACCTCCTTCTCCACTGCCCTGTGGTGAGGGATGTTTAGTCTAAGATTTTGGACACTTTTGGCATGACTTGGGTGTTCCCAAGAACCACTTTGGATTTGATTGAGGCTTGGAAAGGGTGTCTTGTGGAGAGCCGAGCCAGGGTTGTTTGGAGGGCCACTCCCGTTTGTTTATGGTGGAGTTTGTGGTGTGAGAGAGATAGGAGATCGTTTGAGGGAGAGGAGACTCCTATCTGGTCTCCCAAATATAGCATACTGCATACGTTATTTTTTGGGGGGTTAACGAGCGTAATTGTAAATCTAAGGGGGATCTTTTGGATTTTGTGGATAGCTTAAAGCTTTAGTTGTTGCCTTTGGTGTTTTGTGTGTTCTTCTGGAGCGCTCCACTTTTGAGCGCTTTTATGAAATCTTACTTATCAAAAAAATATACACACACGTGCGTATTTCCAATGCATATGTATTTATTCCTTTTTTGAAAAATCAAAGCCACGATATTGACTGTTTCATCTAGGTGACCCCCTTCGTAAATTTGATGTCAGCATGATGTATCTCAGCATGCGTTCAGGAAATTTGCTTTCCATACTTAGGTAAACTTCTTAGAGAATTCGGGAAAAACACGTTAGTAGTGTCCCATATTTTAAAAAATGCTGCAGTATGTTTTAAGGAATTTATATTTTTTCGATAAGTGTTTGAATGGAAATGTTAAAATTTAGATCTTAATTTCTTATGTTCCTTCAATTTATCGAGCCTTCAGTTGAATCATGGTCTTTATGCTATTTATTTGATATTTTTAGTTGTTGCAAACTTGCAACACATTGATGTGGTGTTGATAACACAGGACACTTCAAATTCAAAATTTTGTTATAAAAAATTCTCAATTCATAATTAGCACTCAAAATTTTAGCACTTAAAATAATAAAATTCAGTTCTGAAAATTTTCAGTACTTTAATTTTTCAGTTTTATCAAGCAACACCTAGTTTAGGTTTCTGTTTGGTCTTTCGGTCAGGTCCAAACTATTCGATGGGAGTTCTCTTTTTCTTTTTTACTTTTCTCTCAATTGAGTCATGATTTCCACTGTTGTTTTCCATGTCATCTCTCCATTGTGCTTCCTGTACTGGTATGTTTTGGTTAATAAAGTGGTGCAATTTACAGTGTTGTTTTTGTTGCCGTCAGATATAATTAAGCTGATTGCTGCACGATGATTAAAATCTGTTGAAATTCCTTTTTTTCTTTTTACTTTGCATTTCTCTTACATATATTTTTTATTTGTTATTTTCATGTGTGTACACTGTTGTTTTCAGGATGCACAGGACTGAGATCAAAGATTATTGAAGTAACCCTGAAGTTGTTTGCCTTTTTTGTTCCCTGTTGGCTTTTTACCATTTAGTATCAAGATTGTTGGGATGTTTAATCCTTAAGCTCAAAAATATACTGCAAGGTTCTGATGAACCCTTTTGCCATTTGCTCTGTGTCTCTATTTTACAAGAGAAGGAAAGAGAAATAATTTCTTTTTATTGCAGCATTACTCTAAATGCTTGCTTGTTATGAGAACTTAGTAGGGTGTGTGTGCAGATTTTGAATTTTGTTGGCTTTTCTAGTATGAACCCTTCTCCTGAGACCGTGTGTGTCTGAAAGATCATTGTATGGTTCGAATTAATTATTGTTGCATCATGTGTGGTTCAAGTTTGATGGGGTTTCAGGTGGATGGTGAGATCAAGTTCTGTAAAAGCAATTTGGTCCACAAAGAGTACTTGAGCAACAGTGATCTTTGTCCAATTGACAAAGGCTTATGCTGTGGTTCTCCTGCAAAGAGTGTTCAAACAGTAGGCTATGATGGTAGCAACAAGCATCATCTTCTTCATGCAAAAGCAGATGGCTTCATATTGGAATCATGGTTTGCTATATCGGCCGATACCGGATCCTTTTTTAAGGGTTCCATTCCAGCCGGTTCGGCCAGTTTATATCTAAAACAAAAAATAACTTTGTTCACAAAGTAATCCACCATCTGTTTCACTATAATGAACAGAAGGGAGCTAACCTTGGATCTATAATGAATAGACGGGAGCTAACCTTGGATCTATTTTGGCTAAACTTCGATATCTTTTTGCTGTTGGCACGAGATTCACAACCCCATTTGTCATTCAGGGACTTGAATCCTTACTTTCTACGTTAGGAGGCAGATAAGATACTACTAGATTACTGTCTGTTTTCTGAATTCAAATTTAAATGAAGGAGATTAAGCTTATGTGCAGTTGAAGATAGAAGTGGTGTGGCAAGTTGAGCTTAATGACACTAGGTTGAATATTTAACCACTGGAACAATAGGCATCAATCTGTGGATTAAAACTTTATAACAAAAAGAAATATAAGCCGCATAAACTTCATCTATTCATATGCTATAGCTTAAAAGAAAACATGGAAAGCCATCATTTCTGGAAATAATACATAGATGGGAGAATATAAACAAATAAACAGCCATTTAGGTGTCTGCAACCAAGCTATTGTACAGCCAATTTCTCAAGATATTGAAAGCTTGCTCAGCATCTGCATCTTCCTCGGGAGACTCAGGCCGGTGAGCGAATCCATGACCTCTTCCATTGTAAATCACCACCCTAGACCCCTTGCCAATGCTCTTCTCAATATCTTTCAAGCCACTGACTGGACAAAGTGGATCATCGTCGCCTGCTATAAACAACACAGGTACGTTTACATTAGCAGCAATGGATCGATCAAACCTTGTGCCGTAGAATGAGACACCAGTGCCAAAACAGGCATCCTCGTCTTGGGCTAACACGTCTATTAGTCGTCCGCCTCCATAGCAAAAGCCAATTATACCAAGCTTCTTTGAAATTCCTGCGGCTACAAATTCATCAGTCATCCATTTTGCACAGGTGTCAATGTCTTCTAAAACCCTTTGCAGGTTGTGTCCAGCAATCCATTGTTCAAGTAAATCCCTGGACCTGTCCTTAGTCCATGGATTCCCGCGAAACAAGTCCGGCACTAGAACACTGCAAGATTGTTTAACAAACACCAGAAAGATTAAGGTAGCGTTTGGGGGAGCTTTTTAAAACCGAAAGGCCTTTGCACGACTGAGGTAGTAGGAAGGCTTTTTAACATAGAAAATAATGATGTTAACCCATCTTGATGCTTCAAATGAACAACAATAATAATAAGAGCAAACAATGCTCAAAACTGTACGTCGGAGGAAAGTGCTGCAAAATACAAGTGTATATGCAGTAGAGTTACTCTTAAGATCAAGAAACATACTTGTATCCATTGCAGGCAACGCGATAAGCAAAATCTCTAGTAGACGAGTCTTCAAACCCGAATATGTCAGACAAGAGCAGTATGCCAGTTCCATTGTTGTTCTTCACTGCCTTGAGAAGGTAACCACGGACGCTATCAGCTCCCTCTCCTATGAAAAGCTCCATTCCATTGACCAACTCACAGGCCTCGTCATTTGTACTATCTTCAACTTCTGCTTGGCCGTATGAAACTTTAGATGCTGAATCTTTTACAAATGATAAGGAGGATCTCCGACGATATAAAGTGCAGAATCTCTGGACAACTTTAGTTACACAGTCAATTGTAGTTCCGTTTTCTCGTGTTTACACAAGCTGAGAAATGATTTCAATTTTATATGGCTACATTGTAGTACATTAATATATGAAAGATGACACAAAGCCTTCTGATTGTTTGGAAGTTAAAACTCCAAGTACTTAACTAAAAAATGTACCAAACCCTATCTCTAATTAATCTAGATATGCATATTAAATTGCGCAATTAAAAACCAGACCAACAAGCACTTTCCCCTTTAAAACTGACCTTAATCTTAGATTACTTGCATATGGAATGACATAGAGAGTGGTGGGCACAAAGAAAGGAGCCCCTCTAGAGTCCAGATTATATTTCAGCAAAATTGTGTAAATTTGGTTCTTCATTAGATTAGTAGGTACAAAATTGCATTGCAAAATCAAGAACATTGAATAAATTGGCGAACCTAGAAATATAATCTGGGGGGCTAATATATTCTGGGGTGAACTAGTACTACTAATTTTTTTATGGGGGGCTAACTGCTTGCCACTTCCCGCCAATTTGCAGGGAGGTTTTGCCAACACAGGCTTTGAGTAGGACTCTGCATGGCTTATGTGGAGTGATGGGTTCTAGAGTTTCACATTTGTATAGAGAAATGTGGAATGTTGTAGATAGGGATGGATAGTAGAAATTTGTAGATTGGAGATAATCTAGAAGTGTAGAGAGTTTTAGAGAATAGATATTAGCAATACATCCTAGCCATCCATCAGGAGGATCTCTCTATATATAGAATAGATATTAGCAATACATCCTAGCCATCCATCAGGAGGATCTCTTTATATATAGAATGAGTGTTACATGCGAGTAACAAGTTAGAAGACTGAGGATCAGATGCATGGCTGAGGGGTGTAAAGGAAATTATAAAAGGGCATTGTTCATTTGCCAACAAAGTGGTTAAGCGTGTTTACCTTAGTGTGCAATCCTCAAAAGTTACAATGGCGTCACATATGTGTGTAAAAGTAGAGGCGTGTGTACGTTAGTTTGCAAGACACAAAAGTTACCATTGCGCCAAATAGCAGAAGCAGAGTTATCTACAATTCCCGCAGAAGCATAGTTATCTACAATTCCTATTGGGAGGGTAATAAAAATATATAAATTGATTTGGTGTTACAGTTATAATGTATATTTTCCAACCAAAACAGTTTTTTTTTTTTAATGCAATTTCCTTTAATGTTATGGTAATAAAGTCTCTTTGAAAGGAATTTTAGAAGGTGTATCCAAATTAATTTAATCCTGATTCACAACTTGAGAAAACAATAATAGTCAAATCAGAACCAGCATGTTATAATCAACCATCCAATTCTTCAGAACTCTTATCCACTAGAACCATAGGAACCAAAATTGCATATTGGGCAAGAATATTTAATTAAAAAAAAAAAAAATTTTAAACAGACGGAACTAACATACAGAGATGGGAAGCTGAGGAGAAGCAAATGTTGACTGCAAGTGGTGGTGGTGGTGGAGGTGGTGGAGCTGCCTTCTGAGGAAGAGGCTGCTGCTTATAGTTGTTGAAGCAGAAAACAAGGGAGCTGACACTAACACCATCTCTCTCTCTAAAAAAACCTTACTGTAATAGGCAAATTAACAAGCACACTTTGTCATCACCAAAAAGAAAAAAAATAAATGCAAATATTCGCATCCATGAAAAATATCCGTAGGAAATCTGGTTTTGAAGTTGAAAACAAACTTGGGCCTCAAATCCCAATTCAGAGTTTTAGAGTCATTGTGGGCCCCAACATAGGGTCCACTGCATTTGGACTTGATCTGACCACACCCTTTTTCACTATATATATATATATAGATATTGGTTAAGTAATTATACCATGGTCCACATACGGGGTTGTTTTCTGGTGGGCCCAAAAGAAGCTTGTCAAGTTAGGGGTGAGACAGATTGGGCCTGCCAAGACATCATCCCGACCTAAATTTAAGGTTTGAACAAATCATTGCATCTCAAAGCATGGGTTTCACAAAATTTTCGAATTGTTAAAAAATTTTCATAGTCGATACTCGCACAAACCCTTTATTAAAGAATTACTTGTATGATGTTCGAACCTAAAATTTGATGCAATTACAACAACTTTGTCATTAATAGCTGCTCTCAATGATATTATGTCATTTGAGAATAAATCATTCAACCTTAACTTTATTTTTAGGGTAAAGTACACTGACACCCCCTGAGGTTTGGGATAAGGACAGCCAGATGAAACTTAGCCTATTTTGGGACAAAGATACCCCCTCAAGTTTGATATAATAACCAAAGACACCCCAATGGTAATGAGTTGACATTTCTGTCCTTTGACTTTTATATTGACCATGAAATGACAATTCTATCCTCAGATACCCGTTCCAATTTCTCTCTCTCTCCTCTGTTCTCTCTTCCGCCGCCCCAACACCAACGCACACACATACATATATACACAGACACATACACATATATATATGTATATACAAATACATATATATATATACACACACATATATGTATGTATAGACAGGTGGCGATGGTGAATGGATGCGGGCCTTTATCCTTCGATTCCATCGGTGAGCTTACCCAACGCCGGAGTACGCAAGTCATGAGTTGGGCTTAATGGCAGCGGTGGCAATAGTTGTTCGACGAGGGCGACGGTGAGTGCTCTCGCTTGGTTGATTCTCTCTGTCAGGTCTTGATATATCCCACGGCAGCGCACAAAATTGGAGCCATCAGTCTGACGAAGCTTCAAACTACAAGACCCGATTCTGTCCAGCGAGCCCCAAATCCGGTGAAGCCTAGTTCAGATCGACGAACCCAAGCACGAACAGTTCCCGCGACCCAGAAGAAGAGAATGAGGTTTCAACAGATTGAGAGGGATCGCAGAGAATTGGGTGGTTGCGCCGCCTTGCGTAATCGGAGGGTATGCTGAGAAGGGTACGCAGATCTGACTCTACTTTCTGGATGATTGAGACGAACTCTTTCCCTCTGTGGCTCATTTCCATCACGCTCATTCTGGTTCCACGCCAATTTTAGAGCTCAGATTTGGCCATCTTGGGCACGTTTTCAGGTAGAGTGGCTGGACTGGCGGCGAAATTGAAGACCTGATCTTGGGATTGGGAGGTGGAGGTTGGGCGATCTTGGACTTGGGTTGTTGAATAGGTGATCGATATGGGTTTGTTGAGGCACGAAGATAGGTTGAGGGGGAAGCCATTGAAGTGGGTGGTGGTGATTGTGTTGGGGCTTTTGAGAAGGTGAAGGTTAGGGTTTTTCAGGAAGAGAGGATGAGGTGAAGTTGTTGACGTTGCTATGGTGTTTTTGAAGTTGTTCACATTGCCATGGTGATAGACCAAAAGCTTGATCCTTCCCTTCCATTGGAGAGCTTGAACGCACGGTGGTTTGGGGGTGGGTGTTGGTGGTTGTGGAGTTTTGGTGTGGTTGCTGCAGAATCCGGTTGTAGGATTGATGGGGTGTTGAGGGTAATTTGGTCATTTAATTATTTTAATATTTTATAATTAAAATTAATAAAATAGTGAAGGGTAATGTTGACTTTTCATATGTTTTAAGGCTCTGTTTGGCTTGTAAATATTATGAGGGGGTGTCATTGTCCCAAAACAGAGCAAGTTTCATCTGGCTGTCCTTTTGACAAACCTCAGGGGGTGTTAGTGTACTTTACCCTTATTTTTATATAGATAACATATAGTTATAAAAATATAAAAATTATAAACTTTTTTTGTATTCTAGGTTACTCGAGTTGCTCAAATTAGTAAAATTTTGCTCAAAATAAATTCAAACTTTAAGATTTAAACTCAATCTCAGTCTCATGATCTTAAATACTTTGCTCACAATAGTAAAATTTTCGAACGTAACTCGAATTGCTCTTATAAGTTTGAGTGCACAAGTTGTGAACGTTGTGGAAACATTAAACTAACTATCACGTATTCTCATCCCGACACCAAACTCAAATCAATATTGAGTATTTTATTTATATTTATTTATTATTGAAAATGAAATAAAGAACTATTCAGATTTATACTTAAATACTAGCTATTTTTTTATTTATTTTTATTTTTTTATTTTTATTTTTATAGAAATGAAATAAAGAAATAGTCAGATTTAAATGGCGAATGGTTTCTTTTATTGAAAATGAAACAAAGACGTTAGATTTATACTCAACTAGCCCTAAAAATTGTGAATGCATATATGTATAGGTGCTCAAACAATCAATTTCTTATTTTTACCAACTTTGTAACTAATAGTACTTTAACAAACCCTTTATCAAAAAATTATTTTGAATAAGGATTTAATCATCGAATTGGATAGTTATTGAATTCAATTTATATGAATACAATGGTACATTCATAATATGATGTCATCATTACATGTGATCTACCACCCTCATTTAAATTGAATTGGTAGATTCCTAAATCAACGTTTATAATTTAATTTAATTTCATTAATTAATTAATTAATTAATTTATTTTTGGGGAAAAGTCAAATTGTCAGTTTCTGTTACTTTCTTGGTAAAATTGGTAAAATCAACTTTGGTAGTATTTAAAAGGGTGAGAGAAGGTGGTGTGATGCCTTCATTCAAGGCATATTCACAAAATCTTTTATCCTTTTGTGGCTTCAGTTACATTATTATTATAATCTTGACTAAAATTATGGTAATTTGGACCATGCCAAAGTTTGTAGCACTATTCAATGAACACACACACACACACACATATTTGTTGATAAAGGCATAGATATTGACAAAATCTTCAATAGCTTCAGTATTGTTATAATCTTGACTAATGGAAAGGAAGGATTATGGTAATTTGGACCATAAAGTTTTGGCACCATTCAATGAACTTTTTGTTTCGAGTTTTGAGTGAAGGCAAAAACATGTGTGGGAGTGGATTTCTTGTTAATAAAATAAAATAATAAATAAATAAATTACTCAAAAGTGTTGGTGAAAATATAATTAGTGCGGGAAAGTAAAGATTCGCATTCGATCATATAAAGTGGAATATAATATCATTATAACGAGTCATTTTTCTTCACTCAATACTGACAAAGTGACTATGGCTGATTTTTGGGTTTGGGACCAAAGCCAAATGCAGTTGGAAGGAGGCCACAAAAAACACAAACATATGCATACTTAGGGTTTGTTTGGCGTGCGATATGTTTTAGGCATAATGTTTTTGGTCAATATCAAAACAATCGTTTTGCTGTATTTGATAGAAATAGAAACTATGTTTGGGAAAGAAATTTTATTTTGGGAAATTCGAAAATTTGTTTTAGTTCTTCCGTTATAATATCAAAACACACAATATCAACAATTTTGTGATATTGATTTTGACCAAAAAATGTGATATGTTATGAACTATTCCAAATCAATATCAATCATTCCCAACATGACATGAACCTAAATTTAGATACTATCAGAAAAACAATATCATAACACTTCCCAAACAGACCCTTATATATTTTTTTGAAGGTTCAAGATAATGTGGGCTCACACATAATATTACCCCTAATGAGACTTGAACACTCAGAGAGGAGATATCATACCCTTCTTGTAGCTAATTTTTTATTTGCCTTTCTTATTGGGTGACATATAATGTGCTTCTGTTGTGATGAATTAGTAATAATATAATCAATTCTACCTGTCTCTTCTTCATACTTCATAGAGAAAATGATTCATTTAAGGTACAAACTGGACTGCAGAATTTATCAAAGCACTTATACCACATGATCACACAAAAGAACTCAAATAATTTTGATTTGTTACACTTGTTTATCCATGTGAAAATGGAATTCTAACCATTCCTACAGAATACTAGAGGACATGGTTGAGCATGAATTTGAATGATGCTATGATCTTCTCTATTAGGGTTTTCGACACCAGAAGGCCGGCTTCAGAATTTCACTGCTCATTGTGTCCCTAACGATTGAATAGCGAGCTTGGCTGCAACCATGGAAATATTCTTCTTTACAAATTATGTCAAAATATCTAGCTGTTCTAACGTGTTTTTGACATCCATTGCTCTTAACTTCTCTTTTCACAACGTGAGCAATTCTGATTGAGTTGATCCTGTCAAGAGTAGCAAATTTAATTAATATTTCACAGACAAGTCAATTTTCTTCAAACAGAAAGCTTCATAAGATGTGGAGCAATGTATGAACACGAGTTAATACTAGAAGTTCCCAAACACTTGCAACTATGGAAACAATTATTTGCTTCACATCCAGGGTAGATCTAGCGGAAAGTGCACTTGCAAAAATGGTTCTTTTGACTATATATATATATATATATATATATATATATATATATATATATATATATAACTCAAGGACATGCAAGTGCTCCAACCATAATTAACACAAGACATGATTGGAATAGATACCATTTCACAAGGAGTTGTCATCATGATGCCTCAACTTCTGGCAGGGCCAACAGCAACCAATGGTTCATTGACTGTGGGAACTCCACACTTCAACCAATGATTGTAAAATGACAATCAGTGTCGTAAGCATGACAGAGGAACTGCATTCTCCAAGAATTAACACCCGTATGTAAAATAAACATAAACGTGATCTACCAGTACCGTGAAAGATTCATCAGCTTTCTTTATCACCGTATAAAAAATTGAAGTGATTGACACCATTTGAAATGTTTTCTAACTCATCTTTATAGTTGTGTATTTAATATTTTGTTGGTATAAATATTGTTTTGGGGTTTTCCAGCACTAATGTCTTCTCCCTTGTTTATTAGGCGAGTCGGGGCACTTTGTCCATCTATTTTGATTGTTGAAGTTTGTATCTTGGAGTAGACACCTAAGAGACAAGGCTTGTATACACTCCTTATCTCACTGTATGCTAAGTTATATCTTCTCCTCCAGGAGACTCGAGTCCTAATCCTAATCAGAAGTTGAGTTCACCCTGAGAGAGTGGGACTTGCTGCTGAACTGAACTTCATTACCTTACTTCTCTTTCATCTCCATTTCTTTCATCCTCTTATCTCTCTATCTATTTATATTCCCTTTACATTTTATCTGCTCGAATTAGAGATGGAAACTATGCATCCTGTACGCCTTCGTGTTCATGATTCGTGGAAGTCTGTGTTTCATCCTTCCCCTAGGTAAGATCACCCTCCTACTTCTTTCCTCTAAATTTTCCAAAAATATTTATAACCACCATCCCATTCGTAATCTCACCTAATCGCTAGCTTACAGCCACTAACCTGGGTTGTCCTTCCCAATTTCTCCAATATATTGCAAAATCTCCATCCAACATTTTGCTAACTCAAAGATCATCAGATTAATGGAGTGGCCCTAAATGTATATTTGAAGTCTAATTTATCTTCAGAACAATTATATATTGATTTTTGTGCTCGCTACTAGGATTTTCATGTATTTAGTAGGTTTTCTTGCTACCTGAAACTTTCAGCATTGTATCCTTGCTTGTGTTGCAGACTTGCAGTATATTCATTTATCTATTGTGTGTAAAACAATCTCATACTAGGATGTTAAGAAACTGATTTGCAGACCAGAAAAGCTTCTAAAATCCTCAATGAAGTCTACATTGCAGCAATTTGGTATCACAGCCATCGTTCTGTGCCCGTCCACACATATGCTTTACTTGCTACGGAAATAATTCATTTAGCAACAAAGACTAATTTAATCAGAAATAACAAAAACAAAGAAAATATGAGGGATAAGAGTTGCTTACCCTTAAACCGGTCGAAATGCTGCATACAAGTTAGTTATAAGTAGTCATAGAATTAAGCCTGAATTATTCACTCAAAGCAATAAGAGAACCTAAAAGTTAAAAACTGGAACCCAAGGCTCTTAGAAAATAGCACAAGGCCCGTGATCTAGACCTAGTGGAGGGGTGAATAAGTCTTATAGATTGGATTACCGAATTTTAACTGCTTTTTGAATTTAACTAACTTAACATAAAAATAAATTCAATTTATAATAGAAAATAAAAAATCATCCATGCATGCAATCAACAGAAAGTAAGAAAATGATGGACACAGATTGTTTATGTGAACAACCCGACCGAAAAAAATCATGGAACCAGGCAAACTGAATCCACTATGAGAAAGGACTGCAACCTAGGTTAATAGTTTTACAAAACCCTGAACACACTTAGTTATCACCTTGATAGAGATCGATCCACCAAACTCTTCTCGAGTTTCCATGCACACGATCCGTTCGTCAACAAACTTCGCTCTTCAAGAATTTGCTTCTCCACCAGCGATCCAGTCTCAGCCACTAGTCCTCTTGTTCAATCTCTGATGATGGATTGATTATTGTGTTGAAATCTTTAGCTCTAATCCGCAGCAATAGATGACAATACACAGTGAAGTACACTCACTAGTACTAATTATAATGAATGCAAAACGAAAATATTAAGCAGTCTAGAACTCACAATAATGCTCTCTCTCTATATATACTACACATATATGAGTTGTATGTATTCAGCTAGAAATTATTGGGTACCCTGAAGGTGTTGACAATGTACTGCCCCCGACCAATGGCAAGTTATTACTTGTATTTCCTATCATCAAGGAAAATAATGAGTCTTTATTGGCTGGGGGTACTACATAGTCTGTACCCCCGGGGTACCCAACAACTTTTCGTATTCTGCTGTAGCATGGTATATTATAGGCAATATAAATTACACTTATATTTAGAGTTCGATTTTTTGCTTTTTTTTTTTTAAAAAAAAAAATTTGAATTTCTGCAGGGGGTCGACCAACCAGAGAGTTTCTCAATCAATTCACACAACTCCAGTGGCCCTTGATCAATCGAAGTCTACTACAATATTTATAGTTGGAAAATTTAGAACACGAAGTTTCCAAAAACACTTTTATGCATATTTAAGAAGGTTCATGGAATCAAATCAAAACAAAACATTAAAAACCCTAATCATGTATGCATGAACCCTAATTTTGGTAAGTCCATCAATGTGTCAATTTACCTTTCTACCCATGTGGAAGAAGATTACTCATATACCCTTGAGGGTAGCTTCAATTTAATTCTTCACCCATGACACTAGTTTTGTTTGACGAAATTTTGTCAACCTAAGTCCTATTGACCTAACAGAACCAATGGGCTGGTGCTCTCTTGGTTAGTGGTGTCAAGATGAAGGAAATCCATAATTAAACTTCATGCATGGAATTCTTTTATGTACCAAAGGACCAGACAAGAAATGCAGTTCAGAAAAACAAAAAATGAAAAGGATAAGAGAAATATTACCTGAAACAGGTTGGAGTGCTGCAAAGCATACACGCTCGGCAAAGAATTGGAATGAAAAATACATCACAATCTAGGGAGGGATCCTTCTTAGCCCACATTAGAGCATCTGCAATTTGAGTCTGCAACAATACCTCCTTGGGTGCCTATTAACAAAAGATAAGAAAAAATTTACCATACACCAAGAATATTCAAGTCAAAAAAGCCCGATTCCAATAACAGAGCACCTGTTAGATCTTTTCTCTGTCATGCAGCTCCATCTAAGTAAATCACTCCATCTAAAACTTGGCATTTATGTCTATGAAATGGTAAAATTTATTAAAAAGGGCATAACAAAATACTAAATCCACTAATACTAGAACAAGAACAATTGTGGTATATTTGGATTCAAGAAGATGGATGATGGAACATAGATTTAAAATCTAGACAAAAACAATCCCAAAAAGCCTGTAATGATTATGTTCCGAGGTGGGTGCCATGCTCATCCTCTAATGACCAAGGGGCTTTAAACTCTTTCTTTTTATTTTTATTTTTTTTTATTTTATTATTATTATTATTATTTTTTACGATAGAACTGTCGGTCTTGAGAAAATAATGTCCTATCATTCCGCATTTAGAATCTCAGAATATAATAAACATAGGAAATCCAGGCATCCATATGGTAGATGTGTATGGTCACCTATGCTTTCACAAAAACATAGTTTTAGTCAATGAAACTGCAATTGGAATATATTATACACCAATGGGCCAGTGGCCTAGCGGTATCAGCCTCTTACTTCCCAAAAGGGAGGTCAAGGGTTCATTTCTCCAAAGAGACATGTGTTTGTGAGTACCAACTAGGAAAAAAAAAAAAAAAAAAAAAAACAATTTTACGAAAAATATTGTGATCAAAGATCAAGACAATTGGCAGAAGCCAATTAAACGATTTCACATAAATTCATGCCTTCTTTATAGAACTAATCAACTTTAATTCTTGAATAATCCACATTACAACTGCATTTACTTCCAAAAACGATTCAAGTTACTATGTGGAAAAGCCTGCATCAATAATAGCGATGTTATGGACAATTCCTCAATAAAAAAGGGCTAGGCCGATGCTCAAGGCTCCAGCCATTGCAGGGTATAGGGAGGGTTAGATGTACACAGCCTTATCTCCGCATGTGGAGAGGTTATTTCTTGATTTGAACTCGTGACCTCCAGGTCACAATGGAGCAACCTTATCGTTGTGTTAAGGCCCACCCTCATAGACAATTCCTCAATATCTTGTTCATTTGTAACCAAATATTTTCATTGTGTCCTGGTAAAAAATAAGTAAAAGTGCGTTTTGGGGGAGAGAGATTATTCACCGATGAGTCACGTGTTTCTAATGTATTAATACTTAACAAAATTTCCACAAAAAGTTGCGGTGAAACATATAACTTGAACAAATCTTTCCATTTTCCCACTTGATACGATCCATTTGTTCATAGAGCTATTTACTCAATTGTAGACACCTCTTAGACTCCTAATATAAACAAATTTAAAATAATGTGTCGACATATGAACATAGTGATAATGAATCTAAAAGTAGAAAATGGGGAATCTTTAAAAATTGATGGTCAAAATAATAGGTGCTTCTAAGTGTTGTGTTATCATAATTCACCCGTCAAGTTAAAGGAATAATTGTTGGATATAGGTTGCTATAATAAAAGGAGAACATATGGATGCTCTAGAAATAACATGTATTAAAACAAGGATGTGTAACTAGGAAAAAAAAAACAAGGATGTATAGAGTCTTAAGATCAATTTTGTGAGCAGGTAAAGGTGGCAGCAATTGATGAAAAGATGACAATGATTAATTTGAAGAGGAAGGGTAACAAGCATGTGTACCACAGAGGTGAAACAAAGAATTGATGGCTTATGTGATAAAGCTAAATGGCACGCGAGAGAAAAAGAGAGAGAGAGAGAGAAGTGAAAGTCCAGACCGGAACCAAGGTTCTGATGGAGAAACACGCAAGGCCCGTGATCTAGACCTAAAAGGGAGGGGAGACGAATAGGCCTTACAGATTGGATTACCGAATTTTGATGTCTGTTTGAATTTTAACTAATTTAAGAGAAATTAAATCCACTCAAGCCATTATCCAAGCATGCAATCAAGTAATCAACAGATAAAGCAATAAATATAATGGACACGAACACCTTGCCATGGAAAACACAAGGCAAACCAAATCCACTATGAGAAAGAAGGTTAACAACCTAGGTTACAGTTTCTCAAAACCCTAAGAACCATAGTTACCTCCTTGACATAGATTGGCCCACCAAATCTACTTTAACTCTCCAGACACATGATCCACTTGTCAACAGACTTCGCTTCTCACAAATTTGCTTCTCTACCAATGATTCAGTCTCAACCACAAGTAGTCCCACTTCAATCTTTGAGTTGTGGATTGTTGAACTCTTCAGTAGTAGTCCGCAGCGAAGATGTCAACACACAATTGAAAAAAACTCCCCAAAAGTAAGTATAATGAAAGAAAAACAAAAATATTGATGCAACTCTGGAACTCACAATATAGCTCTGTGTATATGAACTGATATGTATTCTGCCCTAACCTGGTATATAAATGGGCAAAACAGAAGTATAGATAGAATAGAGTGGGAAGTGTTTTAGACCAGAATGGAAATTGATTTTCCGCATGGTTTGATCGATCAAAATACACGCCGATCAATTGACATGACTCTAGTGACCCTTGATAGAAAACTCGATCAATCGAAGTCTACTGACTGTTTTATATATATTTTTTTAAAATAAAAACTGAAAGGAAATTTTCAAAAACACTTTTATCATGTTTTCAATGATTTAGGGAATCAAATAAAAGCAAGTCATGTAAAACTTTGAAACCCTAATTATGTATGCATGAACCATAATTTGGTGAGTACATCAAAGTGTTAAAATAAACTTTTACCCTTGGGAAAGAAGATTATGTTTGTACCCTTGAATGTAGTTTGAAATTCCTTCTTCAACCAAGTGCACCAACTAACTTTTGAAATTTCTAATCCATGCTAGAAATTATAGTCGCAAACTTCAGTTTGTTTCTACGAAATTTGTAAGCCCAAGTCCTATTGACCTAACAAAAAACAAACAAAGAAAGAAAGAACACGAGAGAATCCAAATGTGTAGAATCAAGGATTGTTGAGTTGAATGGCATATTTTACCAGAAAACAGACATACAAACAAAAGAAGAAGCATATGCATACATGGTCAGATAGAGAGAGACAACACCTTTAACTTTATTTCCAAGCTGTTCAAACTGTAAAGAGCTTCCTTTAGTTCCATAGCTTTAGACCTTATTTTGCTTTCATGCTAAGGAACATTGTCCTGCAGTGGTATTAAGAAACCTTTCAGGTAATGATCTGCCTGCAAAACATCTCAAGGAAGCATTTACAGCAAACTATGGATTTAAGAGAGACAATTTAATACATAACTAACAAATTCAGCAATGAAATTTTAAATTTTAACAAACAAATTCATCCAAATGATTGCTTCACAGTTTGGTTTTTACTTCCAACAGGCTATAATATTTTCTTCCATTAGCCTGGAGCAAAAACCCTTTATAAAGAAGAAAAAATAATGAATAATAAATAAACACTTGCAATTTGTTTTCTGATGTTAGAACTTACACTAAATTTTCTTGAGCCGTGCTTAGACCTAAAGTCAAATAGTGGGTCCCAAGGTTGGGAAATGAAGGGGATTGAGTTAAGCAGATGGCTTTCATACGGAAAATTGAGGACAGAGTGTCCCGTGTATACAACTCCAAGTAGTTGGAATTAAAGCTTGATGAAGTAACCTTCCACTCTCTCCCAATATATATAAGGATTTTATCTTCTCCTTTGAAGTGTTCTTCTTCAAGACTACATTTCAGAATGTTTTAAAGTTCGTGCCTTCCTTTTGGAATCTCAATATATCTACTTGCTGTTTATATAAGAGTGTGTTTAAGTTCTTGCAAACTTTAACAGAATAGTCAAGGCGAGTTTCATTAACTAGTAAAAGTCAATTAAAATGGTGTCCTGAGTTCCATTTATGACAAAGAAGATTATAAAACCCAAATAACATGACATCTTCTTCATAAAGCATCTTCAAACTTGGTAAAACAAATAATTTAGATATAAAAGACAAAAGTAAGCCTATGAATAAATTCTGTAGCAGTGTGCACGATATTGCTACAGTACTTTACCATCAAATTTTTTTTTTCTTTTTAAAATAAATAAAAATTTATTTTCTACATGGATTCGCTGTCTTCAGTCTACTCTATATGAATCCATATCACTAATTAAAGTTTCTATTCATAAGAAGGGGCAAGAAGAGCATAACTCTGTGTTGCACCGCTACACCAACTTCAGCAAGAATCCTCACTAGTATATCATGTTTTCCAGTAAATTTCAACTAATGACACAAATTCAGCAGTCTGTTCCGACATTGCCATCAGAATCCAGTCTGAGATGCCAAACATTATGGCAAAGTTCATCAAAATCAGATCACAAGGAAACTTGATGTGTTTGCCACATTGTTCTAGGCCATCAGCGGGACTGGGTGCTACTATCAGTTTGGTGATACTGACTGCGAGACCCCGGTGGCAAGGTGGAAGAGGTAGAGGATATGATAAGAATTTTTTTTTTTTGCAAGTTTATGTCAAGTATTATAAACAAATAAATTTTTTTTTTAGTAACTTCAATTTAAAGTGAAATTGAATTTAATTAAAAAATGTGAAATAAAACTGAAAGTTAATGAAACTACAGGAGTGTTTGATCACGAAATTGAAAGATGTTGCATTATTGACTAACCAACCAATGAGGACCCATCAAATGGTGTGTCCTAACTTTTGTTTATAGAGGAGATAACTTGAAGATTATAAAGTTCAAAAAGAGTAATAATCATCTAAAACTTTGTAAGGTTTAAAAATGGAGAAAGTGTTTGACCAAGGAAATTAAACAGTCACATGAACAAGGCATGCACATCTTTCTTTCTCTTTTTTTTTTGGGTTACAAATGACAGATGGTCTTTGATTGCAGGTTATTAACACCATTTTTTTTTTTTTCATGCCCAATATATTACTTACCACCAAAATGAATAGGAAAAACAAACAGAGAAAAGGCACTAGTGCCTTCGGTTTAACTTAAAGTAAAATTTTGATGAATTCCAAAGTTTGAGGGTGTGAGTTGGAATACAATCACTATTCTTTTGGAATTACTCTTGCACCTTCCATACTACAGTATGGTGGCATTCTACCTGAAATAGCAATGATCTAAAATATGTAAAGTGATCGAATTACCATATATGAGAAATAAAATGCAAAGAAATTAAGAAGATTACTGCAAATGTATAACAACTTAAAATTCTCGAAACGGAAATGCATTTATTCTGGTAACATAAAGAAGGTAACATTCATTCAAGGAACACTAAAATTAGCACACTTAGAATTTCCATGACCAATATGTCCTATATGGATCGATCCTCATTCCTCAATGCCTATCTTTAAAGGAATTTTTTCTCCTTGCTGAACCCAGATCCAGTTTCGATAAAAACTAGGGTAGAATTAGCACGGTTGATGTCTTCAATCCTAGCATCAACCAACTTAATCTTCTCATCCAAGAGACGGTCTAAATCTTTCAGATCCTGCACATTGCTCACATTATGTAAATTCTTTTCAACCAAGCATTTCTTCATAAGTTCCATCTGAAGAATCTTGTTCTTCCTCTTTTCCTTCTCCAAATTTCTATTCAACCTCGACACATTTTGCATAAGAAATGTTTCCTGGTTCAGCATATTGCCTGTTTGCTTCATTGTAGGCAAGCTATTGAACCTTTGAAGCAAATCTTGTGCTTCAACTGGGGAGGGCCAAACATCTGGCTGATCACCATATTTGTTGTAAATAATAGCACAAGCATCAACACTACATAAGGTCTTAAGTTCACTCACCTTCTTCAATAATCCAGCCTTCCTTTTCCGAAATGTCTGCCTCCGTGCACGTTCATCAGCAATCAATTCATACTTAACCTTCGTGCAAACCATGGTCAAGGATACCAAGAAGGAACAATGTGCCCTTTAGGAAAACTGGTGGGTGTATGAGGTTCCCTGACATGGCAATATATAGAGGGAGTTGGTAAGACTAGGAGATATGGAAAGTGAACCACCAGAAAACAACGTGGTCATTAATGACAAAATTTCCAGATAAGGACCAAGAAAAGATAATAAATAGGATATATGTACCAAATGTAACGCTTTTATATTACACTTGCATAATTTCCTGGTCTATATACACGTGTAGTAAAAAACTAAATTTCTGTGACCAAAAATTAAAGAGTTGTTCACAAAATAAATTTTTTATGAGTAAATATTAAATAATATATTTGAGGACATATTTTCTGCCTTTATTACATTAAAAGTTTTATTAACTAGTTAGACAATGCACACTGTATGTTAAATGAGTTAGGATTTGCTATTACACCACAATAAGGAAACTCATTTCATTAGCTGCAACAGCAGCTACCAAGTGCAACTACATACTCACCTCATTACATTGCCATGTGCATCGTCCCAACTATAATCCCCTGATTATGTGAGGAAAGGTAAGCATGGTGATTCTTAATTGAGGAGTACATATACTTGTAGCAATGTTAGATGTTCTGCCCTTTAAATATCACAACCTATTATTACGTAAAGGTAGTTTTCTACATGACAAGTAATTAATGATGACAGATAAGAGGGAGAAAAAGCAGTGGGCTTGCTAATTAACCTAATACCGCGTTGGGAAAATGATCCCAGGTTGAGCCTCCTTAGAGGTGCCCCAGAAAAGTTAAATCAAAACCCTCCAAGTCCAGATGTTATTTTGTATTATGTGGTTTAACATATGGCTATAAGTCTGAAATTAAACTAATTTGTTTTAGTAGAAAATTGAACTCATCATTTTAAATCAAATATAACCAATGTAGTAAATAAATAACCCAAACGAGCAGCTCTCTTAAAATCAATAATACCTCACATCCTGTTATATCAAATGTAAATGCTCCTAGGTGCTCATGAATTTTAATACTAAGAATCCTCTTATGCAAACAATTATATGGCCATGAATCTAAATTTGATTTCTTAGATTTGTCCCTTAAAATGCTACAATAGGGATTATTGCACTTGGCAGCAAGGAAAGTGAAAGACGATCGGAGATGAGAAAGGACAGTATGATGGCTTGGCCATGTAGAATGAGACCAACTGCAACAACGAGAATGAGTGACATGATAAGCATTGATGATAATGTTAGAGAAAAGGAAAGACCAAAATTGACATTGGTTGGGATACAAGAAATTAAAAGTGTGATTTAACTTCAGTTCTGGCGGTAGATAGAGAAGAAAGGCAAACATAATTCACAACATCAGCCCCAGATAGACAAGAAGTTAATTGTCATCCGTTTAGTTACGAATAATGAGTAATGGCAGGTTGATGTGGAGGAAAGCACACGAGAAAGTAGAGATCTAACTTTTGTTGCAAATCAGAGACTGATGAATAGTGAGATGGAAAGGCATCACGCGGAAGGTTATAGATTAATTGATGTTCAAAGAAAAAGGAAGAAAAAGATACCATATGGATTATGGAAAAAACATAGAAGGTCATGGGAAGTAAAGGACCGTAACCCAAGGCTTGGAAGTAGAATTCGCACAAGGACCATGATCTACAACTACAAGAGGGGGAGGGAGATGGGGGATAGGTCTAGAAAGCTAAAATGAGAAACTTTATCTAATTTTTAACCTTTAATCAGATTATCAATAATTTTAAACTTAAATTAATGCAACACATCTGAATCCACTTAATCCTTCATGCAATTCACACATTATCATTAATCAATTAAGTAAACAATATAAAAGCGATAAATAAAAAGAGCACAATGGACACAGATTTTTTGTGTGGAAAAATCAAGGGGAAAAACCATGGGACCTAGTCCAGACTGGTCAAATCCACCATAAGAAAGAGAATTACAATATCTTAACAGTTCATAACTCCAGAACCCCTAGTTACCTCTTGACAAGGCAGACATTTTCCCATTAGTACATTGATCTCTAGGCTAGTAGTCCACTCAATCTCTGTAGAGTGATTCAATTGTGTTGCAGCAGCAAAAGTTGATCCAACGCATGTAAATTCTCACTCACCAATTTAGGATGAATGATAATTGATGAATAAAAACAAAACCTAAATTCATGCACTCTCCATATAAGCCTATCTGTATATTGTTCTCTATATCTCTTAGGTTTTTCAGAACTTCAAAGTAAATATAAAAAAATAGAGAGTTGAAATAATTAGGGTATTAAAGTTCAAACTGAAAAGGAAACTTGATTTCTGCATTGTTTGATGGACCGATACTAGTCCACAAGCCTTTAACTGATACTTCGATCGGTATAAAACCCCTGCAATTTAGCTAATATTGTTTTGCACTTTAGAAATGTGAAGTTTCCAAAAAACTCATCAAGTTTATTAAAAAAGATTTTTAAGAATTAAAAATAGAATTTATAAAATACTAGATGATAAATGAGTGAACTCTAATTTGGCGAGTGCATACAAGAGTGTCAAATTACCTTTATACCACCAGCCTTGAAGATTACGTTTTTGTCCTTGATTGTAGCTTCGACACCATATATGCCCTTGGACAAGAGGTAACTAACTAACTTTCAAAAGATTAAAAAAAAAAAAAAAAATTCTAGTTATGGACACGAAATATGCCAACAGGTCAGATATCTTGATCGTCGGGGGGGGAGATGGGGATATCTGTGATGTTGTGGCCCAAATTGTGTTTCGGACCGAGTCGCTTTGCAACCTGAAAAATAAACTTTTTGACTTTTTTTGCTTGTGGGTCGTGGACCCTGTTTAGTACTCTCTTGTAGCCCGATATATAAGGGCGTATAGGGTTTGGGTGGGACAACATGAGACATTGAAAATCGCAGGAAAGAGTGTGAGAGAGCGAGAACTAGGTTTTGGGGACTGAAACTTGGAATCCCTCGATTTTCGCATAGTGAAAACTTTCACTGGATCTTCACTGTAGATGTAGGCACAACTTGTGTCAAACCACACAAATCTTTGTGTTCTTTGTATGTGGCGTGTTTACTTTGCTGTCGTGATTTGTTCTTGGTAGAGTGATCAATATATTCAGAACAAATAAAAATTGAAGAAAATAGAACACTTGAAAACATTTTGGAGCTGCAAGTGGCAATTGATAGGGGTTTTGACAATTACAGTGGTACATATCGCAATGCCGCACTTCAACCTAACAGCTACGGAGAATCTATAAACAGATCTCAAGGCCACTAGTCTTAGCCTATTAGGATTGACAAATAGTCATCATAAACCACTTATTAACAGGCTTCCCACCAATTCTATCTTCGCTTAGCTTAGATAACTTGGTTATAATCATACAGCTTCAGAGATTCGGAGTTTATAAATTAGACATATAATTGAAGTCCAGTAGCAATCTTCTGTACTATATCAAAGTTAGAGGTTATATTGCTCCTTATAACCAAGACTGTTACACCAACTTCTATCCATGGATTTCCATACAACGTAATGAAATTGTTTTCCTCATTTGTTTTTGACTAAGGGAAAATTAAGTCCCCATTGTTAAGATAATTCATCCAAAAGGAAAAATTAGTCTTCCCATATCACCAAATTCAAACTGACTGCCTCCAGGCTAGGCAATCGATCCTCTATAAATTGTCTCTCGATATAGTTTGGACCATTGGTCACATAATATTTGGTCATTGAGTCTTAGGACAGCTATGTGCCCATGCACCTGGTTGAGTATATTTTTAATCAAACAACTTTATATATTAAAGGTTGACCCCCTATCTTTAACATTGAAGAACAATAAACTCTCCTTGTTAGCAAGGCGACTCTCGATCTTGCTCCAGCATTAACTAAATTGGTAAGTTTTTAACATCCTTTACAAGAACTTGTGAACAGTTAATACTAGAATTAAAGATTTATTTGAAAATATGGTTATTGCAAGTGATAGAGATGCATATACTGTAAATCTTAAGAAGAAAAAGAGGAGTATACGTAAAAAATAAGTATCATGGTAGCAATTTATCGAGTTGATGATCATTTAAAATGTACATCCAACATTTAAATCAATCAACAATGACTTTTTAATAGACATTCATGATTTGTAAAACTTAACAAGAATAAGAGCACAAATGTGAAAGACAAGCAACATAGTTAGATTTATGAAAGAAAAGGAAAAAAAAAAAAAAAAAAAGCAACATGGTTAGCAATTTATCATGCCATGAGCATCGTAAATGTGCATCCAACATTTAAATCAATTGAAAACAGCTTTGAGCATGCTAAATACACAGATAATGGGTGTAGGGGACAACTCTGAAATTGTAAAGAAATAAAATAGTGGCAATTCAAGAATTAAGAGCATCTATGCAGTGTTAAAAATGAAAACTTGCATACCATGCATGTATGGCACAGGTAAAGTCCCTTGGACACACAAGTAACACAGTTGACACACCATTTACGAATATAGGGATAGCCCAAACATATACAGCTAATATAATCTATTTTGAGCTTCGCACATGCTATAATTGCTAGACCTTAATTATTTTTATACACAAGGCTCAGAATTGGATCTGTCAAGTGGTCTCAGCACTCTGCACATCAAAGAAATGTGCACTACAATAATTTACCCAAACTTAAGAATGTGCATGTTTTGAACATGTGCAACCACCTCCAATTTGACTGTTGCCCTTTTTCAATCACCATTTCACCATTGAATTGCCATTAAAGTACTTCAAATATGTATTCCTTTTTTGAAACTTCCTAAACGTATCCATAAAATTGAACTGGTTGGAAAAACTGAAATGGCCGGAAAAGAGGATGAAAAAATGGCTGGGTTGCTTCAGTTGGATTCAGGTCTGGTTAAACTGGTCGGGTTGAGTCTGGTTGAACTACTCATTTCGGATCAGCAGGTAAAGGTTGGGTTGGTCAGAGCTCCTCTCTTTCTTTCTCTACTCTGTTATCTAATGATAACCCTAGCCACTGCAACTCTTCCCAATGATGACAACAATAACAACCAACCTATGGCTCCACAATGACAAACACACAATGAACACTATTCGATCACCACCACCACATGACTGCAACAACACATGCTGCCAACAATGGCAATATAAAATGACGTTCTACAGTGACCACTACACAACGATTATGATCGGCATCAAACCCGCTCCGATACCATGATGAAATTCGGGTTTGAAGAATATAATAAGATTACGACACTGATTTGGGAAATTTTGTGGGAGAGAATATTCACCATTTTTCTTCTATCACATAGATATATATATATATATATATATATATATATATATATATATAACCATTTGGGATTATAGTGAAAAGAATATTTTGCCTTGGAAGAAATACAAATTACACATATACATTCTTAAAGTTCTGAAATTAATCAATTATTACATCCATTTTATAGTCAAGAAATTTATGCAAAATAGGACTAGTTGTATATACTTCTATAACTCGCTAATCGAAAATTCAGTAATTACAATTAACTGATGTGACTTTCTCGTGATAGAAACCAATACTCAAGTCTACAAGCTTCCAACTGAAGATCATGAATTCGGATGCATTACATGATAAATCATGTTATCAACTGCGGCTATTATAAATAAACTATAAGTATACCATAATGAAATCAGAAAACAGAAGTATGAGTATGTACCTGCACAAATTTCACAATTGTGACACGACCTACACCTCTGATAGAGAGTAAGGCTCCGACATCTAATCGCTCAACCTACATCATAGTGAAGGAGAATTGGGGCCATAAAAAATTTTCAGTGTTTATGATATTAATTTGCAGAAGCATAAACAGCTTACTTTTTCTATGACAACCAAACAACAATATCTAGCAGCAAAGGATGATTTTGCCGATGCATTGGTAATAACAATAGGATCCAACACAAAAATACACAAAAAGAGAGGAGAGCACCCAAAGAACAACCACACAGAAGACCAAAAGAGGCCAGCTTGACTCTCAAGCTATCTACAAAATCCACAAAATCCCCCAAAGACTTACAATTTCACCCATTTACCCAAAAGAATAGAGAACCCAATATAGAATGTACGAGAGACCAAACATCACTTGTTTGACAAATTGTCCACAACTTTCCCAATTTGAGACAGAAACCATGCCAAAACTAAACATATTAGCAAAACTGGTTTCTTTCCAATGTATCAATCAAAATAAATAAATACATAAAAAGAAAAATAACAATCTGAATCAAACTATCAGATTGACCCTATAGATGAACTCATTCAAAAATGAAATCTTGGTCAACTTTATTCTTCTTTTTTGTAGATAAAATATTGCTCATTTCCTTCATAGCCTTTAAAGTGTTCACTAAAAACATGCAGAATTTTAACCACACGAAATGTAAGAAATTTTTGCATATGTAATTGAGAATTGGTCTTCTCAATCCATGAATAAAATTTACAAAAACAAGTGGAATCATTCATACTATAATCTCAAAAGTAGAATACCTTCATTAACATATGCAAGACCCTTCAAGAATACATAAAGATGCAGGATAATATCTAGTACCTCCTCCAGCAATGTTAGATATCTTGCTTCATAAAACAACCTGTTCATATACATAGTCAGTAGTTTTTTATTCATTAATTTAGTAAAATTAATATTAAGCACAAGCTGCACAAGAAATAAAATTATGATATAAACAGAAAATGCAGATAAATTGATTGAACCTAAAATGCTGTTGAACTTGTTATATAGGTTGAGTTAACCATAAAGAGGATGTTAAAGGAGACATTGATTCGGAATCTAAAATTTAATGATTGTATATAATTTACATCCTTAAAGCAAAGCCAACTATGCAATGTGCAAAAAAATTCAAAAAAGAGCATTCAAACATGCCCTTGTAACAAAAGATGTGCAAAAAATTGCTTATAGAAGAAGAATTCACCTGGCCCATAGGGAGGGAGCTCCGCCGCTGAAGCGAACACATGTGGGTTGGAACGGCGTCGTTGAAGGGTGCTAAGCTCACGATTGCTAACAAGCTTCAATTGGGTTGGAGAATCGGAAAGTATAAACCCAAAAGGGGGTTTTGATTGGTCTTCTTCTAGTAAGATGAGTGGAGTCTCTCTATGGCCCGGTTTTGATTCTGCGAAATTTTTGTAATTTATTTAATATTATTTATTTATTTATTTCCGATAAAGTGAAAAAAAAAAAAAATATATTCCTTGTCAAATAAATCCCTTAACTAAAAATTGCCCCAATTATTGATTGTTATAATTAAGGACAAATACATTATACAAGATTATTTTTACCCTTTCTCATTAAATTTTTTATTTCATATTAAATTTTTTCTTATCTAAATAGTAATTATACTATTTATCTTAATTTTATTTGAGTATCAATTTATCACAATGAAAAAATAAAAGAGAAATAGATTTGGAACTACAATTTTCTAGACTGATTAGCTTATTTTTAAAATTTATTATAGCCAGTTTAAACTTTTTATCGTAGAAAAATATCTCTTTTTGATGCAATATATTGATGAATTTTTAAAAAATTACTTAAAAAATACTTATTTTCATGTAATATATTCATTAAAAATAAAAAAATAATTATTTTTTTTTCAAATTTTCTACTATTTTTATTTAAATAAATAATTAAAAAATTAAAGGTAAATTTATGCAAATTTTAATGGACAATATGTCATCAATTTAGTATAAATTTTTTCATAATTTATTTAAATAAAAAAATAGTTGAAGTGTAATTTAATAAGAAGGGCCATCATGGTCATTTAATTAAATATAGTATAGGCAGTGAGGTATTTTGTAACAAAATGAGATAATTTAAGAGGTATTATACACAAAATATAGTTCAGGAGGTTATTTGCAAATTTAAACATAGTTGAAGAGATTTTTTTTGCACTTCACCCATTTATTTATTTTTTATTAGTAGCAAATATAAGAACAAGGAAAAAGGAGAAGTGGGGGGCGTGTGTGTGTGTGTGTGGTCTTGACCTTTTTCTTATTTTTTTGGCATTTTTCTTTATTTTTTCGTATTTATATTTTTTGCATGGGGATACATACCACGTGGGGTCCTATGATTCATTTAGAGAATTTTTTCAAGTTTAAGAATTCTTATAAATGTATTTTTTTTGTCTTTTTGCTCATTTTTTGTTTTCTAGGAGGTTCCATGTGGGCCGGGGTCGGGTTTACGTGTTCGAGAATTTTTTTGACTTAATCTTATGGTCTTAGGGTTAAGTGCAAAAAAAACCCCTGAACTATGGAGAAACCTGCAACTAATTACCAAAAATGCAAAAAAAAAAAAAAAAAAAAAAAAAACCCTGAACTATGCAAAAATGTTGCAAATCACCCCATCCACCCAAGGTTTGGTGAGAACTAGCCGTTAAATTTGGTTGAATTTTTTTAAAAGACCATACTGCCCTTAGAAGCATGAAAGGACAAGAGTACTCTTAATTTCCAACCTTTGACTCCAATATCCAAACATGGCTTTAACCAGGGACTACAGTGATGGCGAGAATGTCGGTGAGCTTGTGAAGATGCCTAATAAGGCAGTTGTTGCCTAAGTATAGACTCTAGAACGGGGGGGGAGGGGGGGTGAATAGTGTCTAAGCAAACTAAGGTCAATTTTTCAATATTGATTTACCAACTAGAGTTAAACTCAACTTCTTTGACAAATATTAAATGATGCAATCTGAATTTTAAGCTTTAATTGTCAATATTTATGAAGAGGCATATCAAGACATACATGAAGCAATAAATATGAGAGAAAAAGATAGAAGTTGCAAACATGTACTGAGTGATTTTAGTAAGGTTCAGAAACTCCTACTCCTCGGCTCAAGACCCCTCTTGAGACTTCCCAATTCACTATGGCTTCTCCTTGCGGGTGGAGAGCAAACCTTTTACAAGAAGCTCTCCCTTGCTTCTAAGTACTAAGAGAAACACATTCTCTTAGACTTTCTTGGGCCACACCAGCCCTTACAAGATTTGAACAAGATTGATGAAGTACAAAGTGATCTCTTTTAGATCTAAAGTACAAGATTCAGCTCACTCTAGAGTATGTATGAATAACTTGAAGCTTAACTCTCTTTTATGATATATGATGTGTGTAAATGATGATGAAAAACTTTTTGATTGCTAGAAGATCTTTCTCAATAAATGCAACAAGCTTTTATGAAGACTACCAGTCATTATATAGACTTTCAGAACTGTCTGATAAGAGTTATAGCTGTTAGACACGCACTTCAAGAAAAAATGCCCGTTTGAATTTTGAAAACGCAGCTTCGGTCGACCGAAATGAAACACCCTTGTGTTTCGGTCGTCTGAAATGGTTTGAAGCTTGGACATCATCCTCTCAGTACTCTTGGTTCGGTAGACCGAAGTAAAGCTCTTTTCTGTTTCGGTCGACCGAAATGATTTCATCATTCTCAGTACTTTTATTTCGGTAGACCGAACTGAAACTCAAAGTTGTTTCGGTCGTCCAAAATGATTTTAAAATTTGAGCATCATTCTCAGTACTTTGATTTTGGTAGACCGAAATGAAATGAAGTTCTATTTCAGTAAACCGAAATAGCTAGAGGTTTTGGGATAAACTCTTTGTTCATTTCGGTCGACTGATACAATAAGCCCTTCCATTTCGGTAGACCGAAATGGACTTTCATTTTCAGGAACTTGTTCAGATAAAGATTTACTTAAGTCCTTTGATCCTTAGTCATTGTGAATGAGTTAATGTGCATAATGTTGGAGAGTTTGAGCTTCAAGATGTTCATATATACTTTAACAAGATTTCCTAAGAAACTCACCAACCTAGCTAACCCCATTTTGACATTTGTGATGACTTGTCTTGACTCTTAGTTGCTTAGTCCTTTGCTCATGCCTTGGTGTTGCTTTTTCAGTTTTGCCCTTGTATTGTAGTGACTTGTTTTGATGAAAACTTGATCTATAATTTCACTCAAGAAGACATTAGTGAACATAGAACATTATTAATGAATTATGATCATCAAAAGCCTTAGATTCAAGGTCAACAATCTCCCCCTTTTTTATGATGACAATTCATTGATATGTTCGTCAAATGAGAATAAGAATGTAAATAGTTCTCCCCCTTTCAATGTGCATAGATTTGAGATTTAGGGTATATAAATAAGAGATTACAAATCTTTCCCTTTCCTTGTGCAATCATTTAATCATTATTGGAATTGAAGGCATAACATATTTAAGGCATACATAACATAAAAGAATTGAAAGCATGCAAATTATAAATGCCAAAAACATGTATCTCAATTGATTCAAGAATTCAAGGTCAAGGTACATCATCATTCTTACTAATCCGTCTTGTTTCAATTACAATTACAATCAAAACATTATCATCCACAATTTACATCAGCATCTATACCAATAACAACCAACATCATCAACATCACTACATCAACATCAATTCTCCCCCTTTGTCATGTATCAAAAAGGTAGGGGGGTATGAGAGCATTAAAAGTGAAGAAGTCCCGTAGCCCGGAGTTCAGAAAGATCACGCTTGACAAGATCAACTTCGTTTGCTACCTCTTCAACTCTTTCGCGCAAAGCGAGAATGTGATCCCGATTGTCCTTCTCAAGAGATATTTGCTCTTTCGATAGAGTAATACTTTCAAATAGAAGCTCCCGTAGCGATCTTTCTTCAGAAGGAGGAATATGTGCTTCTTCTTCCTCTACCTCTGTTTCATCTTCTCTATCACCACCACCACCACCACCACCTTCAACATCTCCCACTTGTTGCTCATCCATGGCTATATCTTGGCCTTCATTTTGAGGATTACCAAACTTAGGATCATACCAAATGTTGGCTTAAGATTTTTTTAGACCCATTCGACCTAGCAAATCTCGATCAAACCTGTAGAGATTAGTTAGCTCCTTTTTATCCTCGACCTCTATTCGGACTTTGTATGCTCTGAAGATTAAGGTAAGCGGCATGGCATAGAAGACGTGAGTTTTTTTTCTTTCTTAGCGTAATCTATCATGTGATGAAAAATGACGAAGGCTAGATCAAATTTCTTCCCATTCAGGACGCACCAAATAAGAAAGGCTTCCATGAATGAGACATCCGAGCGACTGCCAAATTTTGGAAGGATGTTATGAATAATGACATGGTAAATGAGACGAGCTTGTACTGTCAATTGACTTGCATAGATTTTGTCAATATTGTTGGTGGGGAATTAACTCATTTATTGAACGGCTTGGTAAGGGTTAAACCCTTCCTCATCATACCAGTCATAGGTAGTGTAATAGGTGATATCGCCGTTGGGAATGTTGAGAATACGACGAATACTTGACAGAGAGAGAGTAATCTGCATGCCTATAACGAAGGAAAGGAAGGTGTTCTGCCCTACTATCATTTCAAGATGAGAGTAGAATAACCTAACTACTTTGGGATAGATAGGAACCTTAATGGATAAGAATTCACCCAAGCCTATTGCTTCAAAGAGAGAGAAAATGTGTGTGATGAGTTCCTCAGTTTCAGCTCTATCAAAGAACTTGCCTTTTTCAACAATTTTGTGAAGGAATTTTGTTTCATAAATCTCTTTGTACTCAGGTGATCGAAATAGGCGCATAGCTGGGGCAGGATATGGGTTGGAAGTGTCAGGATTTGGGAGATTTGACCCTCCTGCTTCAGTAGTTCATTTTTCTAGATCCCTTTTAGATCTAGAAGGATTCTTGCGGGATGCCATGGGTTCTTTTCAAGAGATGAAGGTTTCAGTATGACAAGATGTAATGTAACAAAATCTAACCTAGGTATATGACAGATTATATGGCACTAAAGATGAACAAGATCCAACTTAGAATGATGCAACAAAGTTAGATAATAGCAAGGGATGAACCTGATGAAGAGATAATGAATTCAAAGTGTAACTTACCTTGAGGAGAAATGAGAGAGAGAGATTGAGTGGGAGATTCGCAAGGGTTTCGCGCACACACAGTCGCCTCAAGAGAACGAGAGAGATAAGGTTTTGAGATTTGAAGTTTAAAATGTGATTTGTGGTTCTTAAAAGCCAGATATGGGCTTTACATGATGGGGCCTCGAAGATTTGGTCGACCGAAGTAGCTTCATCGGTCGACCAAAATAGCTTCATCGGT